ATATATATATATATATATATATATATATATATATATATATATATATATATATATATATATATATCTTTTATGCCTTATATCATGTATACAGTTGAAATAACATTTTTTTGCCATACGCCTTTTCTTTAGACGTGTGTATTGTATGCATTTTAACGTGATATACTTTACGCCTTTCTATATATATATATAATTTTTGCATGTTTTATGCATCTGTCTCCTATATGTTTCGCTGACTCTTGACTGACGTTCGTCTTCTGTTTCTTTGTTGAGTTTTTCTATTTTTTTTTTCTAGTTTCTATATACTTTTGTGACGTCCGTAAAATTTAAAATTTCAATTTAGTCACAATTTTCCAATAGAAAATAATAAAAAACAAAAAAAAAAAAAATTCTACACAAAGAAAGGATATAAAATGAGAGAATTACGATTTTTTTTACATTTCTAGAAAAATTGTATATAGCGATGTCTGAGATTTATTTTAAAAACCTATTTTGAAAATAGAAATTCAATATTTTTTATCCCGGCAAATATAAGAATTTTGTAACGTTTTTCCTAAATGTAGTTCCAAATTATTGACAATTTTTATAGATTACTTGGTTCATTTTATCCAAGAAACACTCGAATCAAAGGAATTTAAAAAAAAGTCTAATTAATTTTTCATTTACCAGTCGCCATTTTGTTTTTTTTTTTTTTTAAATTGATGACAAACTCGTAATCAGCGACCCAAAAAACCCGTCAAGTTGTAATTTTTTTACGAATTTGACGAAATTTATGAAAATATTCCACCATTTTGGATTCGCCATTTTGAATTTAAAAAAAAACTGACCACAAATTAGTGATTAGCGTTCTAAAAAATCTGTCAAGTAACGAGCTTCATGCAAATTCGTACAATTTTTTAAAAATTCTTTCTCAATATTGAATTTGCCATTTAGAATTTTTCAATTTAAATTGCATATTCGTAATCTAGAACCTTGAATCCCCCCCCCCTCCAGGTACATGTTTTAAGCAATATCAATCAATTTCCTAAAAAAAATTCGCCATTTTGGATTAGACATTTTGAATTTTAAAAAACTGGTAACAAATTCGTAATCAGCGTCCTCATGAATTATTTAGGTAAGAATTTCATGCGAATATGACAAATTTCAAGTCACCCAAAAAATTCGCCTAGTAGTAAATTTTTTTACGAATTTCACGAAATTTATGAAAATATTCCACCATTTTGAATTTTAATAAATGGAAACAAATTCGTAATCAGCTATTACAAAAAACCCCTAGATAGAAATTTGATGCAAATTTAACGATTTAAAAAAAAATATTTCACTACACTGAAAAAAAAATTTATTTGATTCAAATACCGGTGTATTTGGTTATTATCAAATAAATATTTACTTGAATCAAATATTTCTTATTTGAATCAAATATATAGTATTTGAATCAAATATTTCAGTATTTGAAGCAAATACCATTTATTTGATTCAAATAAGAAATATTTGATTCAAGTAAATATTTATTTGATAATAACCAAATACACCGGTATTTGAATCAAATAAATTTTTTTTTCAGTGTATTTTTAATGCGCCATTTTGAATTTTTAAAAACTGTCAAGAAATTCGTAATCAGCGACCTTGAAAACCACCTTGTTATATATTTCATGCAAATTTAACGAATTTTAAGAAAATATTCCGCCATATTGAATTTTGAAAAACTAGCAACAAATTCGTAATCAACGACCCCAAAAATCCCCTAGGTATGAATATTTGAAAAATTTAAAGACAATATTCCTCCATTTCGATTTCGCCATTTTGAATTTTTAAAATCTGACAATAAATTCGTAATCAGCGACCCCGAAAACCCCTGAGTAACGAGTTTTAAGCGAATCCCTTGAATTTAAAAAATAGCCGCCATATTAGAACCGCCATTTTTTTTTAATTTAGACTTCCAATTCGTATTCCGCGACTCCTAAAACACTGTGAAGTACTATTTTTCAAGTGTTCATTTTATTAATTTTTAATTTATTCAAACATACAATATTGTAATCGAATTAGAAAAATTTTTTTAAAACAATTCTGGTACCTATCAGGGAAACCTAATTCGTACAACTTGAATTTAATTATGTTATTCGTTTTTCAAGGTTATGTCCATTTTTCAAAGTAATTACCATTTAATATTTTTGATCTTTGATAAAAGAAAAAAAAATAGATTTTTCATTCAAAGAGGATTAAAAAAAAATTTTTCCTTTTCTGTATTATAAAATTGTTTAAAAAAATTATGTGCTCGAAAATTACGAATTTGATGTTAATTTTTCAAAATTCAATATGGCGTAATTTTTTTTTTAAATTCATCATTTTACTTTGAATTTTGTTACCTGGGGTTTTTTTTGATAGCTGATTACGAATTTGATGTTAGTTTTTCAAAATTCAAGATGGCCGAAGAATTTTTTAGAAATTGATTGGATTCTTTTGAAATTTGTTACTTTAGAGTTTTTGAGGTCGCTGATTACGAATTTGATGTCAGTTTTGGAAAATTCAAGATGGCGGAACCAATATGGCGGAAAAATATTAAAAAATTGTTTGGATTTGTTTAAAATTTGCTACTTGAAGGTTTTTGGGGTCGCTGATTTCGAATTTAATCTCAGTTTTAAAAAATTCAAGATGGCGGATCCAATATGTCGGAAAAATATTTAAAAATTGATTGGACTCGTTTAAAATTTTGCACTTGGGGGTTTTTGGGGTCGCAGATTACGAATTTGATGTCAGTTTTCAAAAATTCAAAATGGCGGAATCAATAGGGCGAAAAAATATTTAAAAATTGATTGGATTCGTTTAAAATTTGGCACTTGAGGGTTTTTGGGGTCGTAGATTACGAATTTAATGTCAGTTTTCAAAAATTCAAGATGGCGGATCCAATATGGCGGGAGAAATTTTTAAAAATTGACTAGATTCCTTTAAAACTTGTTACTTGGGGGTTTTTTGGGGTCGCTGATCACGAATTTAATGGCAGAATTAAAAAATTTTATATTCTAACAGCAATATGATGTTGTACTTAAAATTATATATCAAAATGAGTTTCTAAAAATTCCTCATAAATTAAAAATCACTGAAAAAAATAGTTTTCAATTTAATAATAACGTTTTTGTTTTGCATATAGTTAATTGTATAAATACAGTAAACCCTTTAATGATGTATCTCAACATTTTTGACTTTTCTCAATCTATAAAATCGACTTTCTACGATTTTTCGCTCCACTGCAAGTCTATCAGACGCCTTCGTTGTCGTAGTCGTCTCGTTTTCCCTCTCTCAACTTTCTCGCAAGTGAACTTTATAAGCGGACCTATCCATTACGAGCGCGTGAGAGTGCCAGCGAGTCAAAGGTCTCAATTAAACCAAAATGGCACACTAATGAACAAAAGCCCCTCTCCCATCCTTTTTTTCCCCCTTGCGTCTCTCTTTCCTTCGCCCTTCACCCTTTACCCCCTCATCCCACGTAATCCGGTATGCAGTCTATTATTAAAGTCTCCTAAGTGGTTTCTTCGTTCATTGGTGACTTCTTTGAGGATAATGATTGACTGTAGTTTTTTTTTTTATTATTATTATTTTTTTTTTAAGAATAAAAATTCAATACCAAGATCTTTTGAATAAGACGCGCGCACGTCCCAAAGGAGGCTTCCAAGAAACAATATAGTCTTGATGATTACGCTTACCTGTAACAAAAAAAAACAGTGCTATTTAGTAAAGTATTTTATAATTATTTTTTTTATTAATTTAAAACTATAAAAGATTATAAATTTGATTTGTACTTTTTGGAATTGGTTTTTGATTATAATTATATTATTATAATTGTAATTGTTATATTCAATTATAATATTCAACTGTAACTATATTATTATAATTACAATATTCAATTATAATATACAATTGTATATTTAAATGGAATATTATAATTATAATATTCAACCGTAATTTTATTTTTATTCTTATAGTTATATTATTATAGTTATAATTATAATATACAATTGAATATTATAATAATATAATTAAAATTAAATATTATAATTATAACACTTGAAAACTCGAGATTAAATTTCAAAAACATAGATTAACAAGGTACATAACCTCAAATGTTTAAGTTTAGATGTCAAGAACAAAAAAAAAAACGAATTTAACCTCAAAATTTATAGTCATGTGTCAAAAAAGAAGGTTAATAACGAACATAGCTTCCCTCACAACTTTTCCTTTTCTCCTACCCTCAGGTAGGTTAAAATCTAAAAACATAATCTCAAAATTGAACTAATTTCAGTTGTTAAAAAACATGTAAATCAAGAGCGTTAATGGATTGAAATTTAATCAAACATGCACCCCCCATACTACAAAAAATATTAAAGATATTTCTCCAATTTGTATCATCTGCGAATGTTTAAAATTTTATTGCTCTATAATTTTAGGAGCAAAATTTCTAGTGAAATAATTATTATTTTTCATTATTTCTATAAATAAATAAATTAATTAATTAATTAATTAATTAATAATTTGATAAATTTAACTGAAATAAAATAATTAATAATTTAATAATTACCTTATTTAATTTATTCTCAAAATGATGAAAAAATAATGAGAATGATACTTCAATAAAGGAAAAAATAAATTTGAGATTTACTTTTTTCTGAAAAAAGTAAAATTAAGTTAATAAATAATTTATTTATAATTACTTTTTCAGTCAAGCAATATTCCATACCTATAATTTTTGTAAAAATGTTAGAAAAAAAATTGTTTTTATTTGTTGTTATAAATTACACTGTAAATTATTTTTCTAATAGTTTAAATTGTTTATAAAATTTGTATTTTTAAAAGGGATGTTATTAATTAATAATAAATGCATTATTATTTTTAACAGTTATTAAATAAATTATTTATTTATATTAATTAACGAATTTGACAATTTCGCAATTTTTCGGTAACTTATTGTTAACTTATTGTTTCAATATATATTATAATTATGAAAAAGCTGCAAGGGAGCAAGCATTGTAAGAAGACTGTTTATGTCAATTTCAATAAGGATATTATAATTTAGCCAGTTATGATAATGAATTAAAAAATATATGGCAAAATAAATTCGAATTTAATACCGTAAGTGTCACAGTTTCTTTTATCTTCTTTCCCCCTTAGTCCGAAAAAAATCTACATTTTACATTTACTGAAATTTCGAGATTTCTCGCATATTGTTCGAAAGATCTACTAAAATGCAATGTTTTTGCCGAACATTGTAAGAATATTTGACCAAAAGTTTCGGAGTTGTACGCAATTAAAAAAAAAAAGGTAGCCTTTTTATTATGAAGTTAATTTAAAAAAAATTCTTTTAACAAAAAGAAAATATTAAAACTATATACAGTCAAACGGACCGACGGCACTGAAAATAAGATTTTTTATGAAGAAAATCATCCTTTTTGTGAACCACAATAGTGAATACGGTAAAACAATGATCTTTTTTTCAAATTTTCTTGAATTTCTTCAATCGTCTTTCCTCTTGATTCTGGAGCCATTAGATAAATCAAAATTGTCCCTAACAAACAACAAATACTGAAACACCAAAATATCCCATACACATAAACAATTGTTTCCAATTCTTGAAAATAATATACCGACAAAAATTTAAAAAAAGGATTAACTAGTTTCACAACTGTCACTGCTATACTTTTCACTTCATTTGCAAATAATTCACCTTGATAGATGGTAAATAAATTACTCGGTCCACTGGTAAGAAACACAGAAACAAATGACAGGAAAATAATTGGTATCCATCCTGATAATTCGGAGGATAACAAAATACTTTCTTCAACATAAAAATATGCACCAATAATAAAAAGCGAAATGGAAGAAATTACTCCGGAGAAAATTAAAATATTTCTTCGATTTATCCTTTCGATTACTTGCATACTACCGAGACAAGTAATAGCGTTTAGTGAGGACCATAAAATCATTGCCTTCTTTGGATCCATTGGCGTGGTTTTGTAACTAAATATTTTTTGTCCAAAAGCTCCCACAGCCACTTGTCCGGATAGAGTGCTCAACAATCCAGTTGATATGACAATTATCAAAGCTTTTCTGTTTGTTGAATTTGAAAATAATTTCCATATATTTGTTTCCCGAAGAAAAACAATAATTCCTTGACGCTCTTCCAATCTGTCAGGTTCGATATTCACTGGCGTTTTGGAAGAATTTTTATTTATTTCATTAGCGGATTCCAAGTGATGTTGAATAACATAAACACCACATTCTTGAGAATTCGATTTCTCTTTTTCGATTCTTCTTTGACAATCGGGCATAGCGAAAAAAATTAGAAGAAACAAAATTGGCAGCATTAGAAGAACAAAATTCATTTGTTGATAGGTAAAAAAAGCACCGAGTAACATTATCAGAGTACAGCCAAGACCTTTTGAGAGTCGAATGAGAAGCATGAAAATTCCTCGATTATCCTTGTTACAAATTTCTGTCATGTACACTGACATTGCGCAGAGACCACCACCATAACCAGCGCCTCCAATCAATCGCGCACAATAAAGTGTGATGTGACTCTTTGCCAAAATTATCATTAGCCAAGAAATTATTTGCGGCACGGCAAACATAATTAATGTCCATTTTCGTCCTATTCGATCGATAAAAAGTGGATTCAAGAGGAATCCTATTGATAATCCAATTAAATTAAGAGACGCTATCCATGAACTTTGGTTTAGTGTTATTTTAATGTCTGATTCTGTACTTTCTAAAAATGGTAGTGCTGGTGAACTCCAGGAAATCATTGAGCCATATCCGACAACTGTCATACAACCTGAAATTTTAAAAATATACGTTTATAATGAAAGAAAATTAGTGCAATAATACCAAGTAAAAAGCGCCTCCCATAAAGAGATTCGTGGTTGTTATATTTATTTAAACTACATTCAAATTAATTTAAAAAATAATTTCAGTTTTTGTTTATTCAAGGAAGAATCAGACAAAAAATTGGAACAAAAGTAAATCCAAAAGAGTATTAGTATTTTTGTATTTTTAAAGAAAAAGATGATTTAAATTTGAAAAAAGCTTCGGTGAAATTTTAAATAATTATATTTCTAAAATTCTAAACACTTAGAAATTGGTTATGTTACCAAAGTGAAATTTCTAATTGTTTAAAATTTTTTAAATTAAATTATTTAAAATTTTACCGAAGCTTTTTTCAAATTTAAATCAACTTTCTCTTTAAAAATACAAAAATATATAGTTGCAGTAACTTTTTCAAACTCTTTGTCTTATTCTTTCTTAAAAAATGGTTCGTCACAAACTATTTTATAAACTTACCTGTGATAGCTGTGGCATATTGCAAAAGTAACATTGATTTTGTGTTTTTAGCCATTTTTGGATGTAATTTTTTCTTAACTTTTCAATTAAATTAATTATTTTCTAGGCTTCAACTTTACCGATTTCTTGTTTGTTTTAATTTATTGTTAAAAAGAAAAACTTGTAAATAAGTTGAACTTGTTTTTTTTTTGATTAAACAAATTTTTGTCTGTAGTTTTTTATATAATTTGTCAAATTGAAAGAAAACACATTTTATACAGAATTTCAGAAAGCTGTTCTTTCCCTCATAACTGCATGCATTTGACTGTCACACATTTTTAGGGCATTTGGATTTTCTTATACTAATTACATTTTAATGGGTTGAAGAAAATGTAAATGTACCTGTGTACAAGTAACGTGTAAATGATCACGTACGAAAAATGTTTCAATTTTTATTACTTAATTAAATTTAAATAATTAATTAATTTTATTTGAGTAAAGTATTTTATAATTATTTTGTTTTTTTTAATTTAAAACTATTAAAAGATTATAAATTTGATTTGTACTTTTTGGAATTGGTTGTTGATTATAATTATATTATTATAATTACAATATTCAATTATAATATACAATTGTATATTATAATTATAACTATATAATAATATAATTAAAATTCAATATTATAATTATAATTGTAATTACAATTTAATATTATAACTATAACACTTAAAAACTCGAGATTAAATGTCAAAAACATAGGTTAACAAGGAACATAACCTCAAAAGTTTAAGTTTATAAGTCAAGAACGAAAAAAAACGAATTTAACCTCAAAATTTATGTCAAAAAAGTAGGTTAGAAACGAACATATTTTCCCTCACAACTTTTCCTTTTCTCCTACCCTCAGATAGGTTAAAATCTAAAAACATAACCTCAAAATTCTAGATCAAATTTAGAGACTTGTGCGAGTTTGTGACTGAAACCTGATAACATAACAGCAAAATTCTAAGTCATAATCAAGAGATCATTGCGCTTGAAGCTAAAACCTGAAAACATAACCTCAAAATTGAAACAATTTCAGTTGTGGTTACATGTCTCTCGATCACTAATTTGAGGTTAGTTTCCAGTTTTATTTTGAAAGCTTTTAAAGGGCTGCCAAAACATAACCTCAAAATTCTAGATTATTATCTAAAAACCACTGGGTTCGAGGCTAAAACCTGATAACATAACCCCAAAATTCTAAGTCATAATCAAGAGATCATTGCGCTTAAATCTAAAACATGATAACATAACCTCAAAATTGAACAAAATTGAGGTTAGTTTTCATTTCAATTTTAAAAGGACTGCAGTACATTATCAATAAAAAATTTTTAAAATAATTTTCTCAACACTTCGCAAGGATTATATTTGATGCTAAATAAATAGAAATCAAATTTCAAAAAAAAAAAAAAAAACTATCCCTCGAAAATGAGTTTCAGGAAAATCTCATCCATATCGTATATATATATATGTTAGGCTCAAAAGCCGAAAACGGCCAATGGCCGAAAAAAACAGCCAAACCTAGTTTTGGCAAACGCATTTTTGCCAATACTAGTTGTGGACGTTTCACAACGGCCATTGGACGTTTTAAATTGACAAAACCAGTTTTGGCAAACAGAAATTTGCCAAAACTAGTTTTGGCAAACGCATTTTTGCCAAAACTGGGTGAGGCATTTTTAATTATGACAAAAATTTAAACAATAAATTTTCCACACAAATTTTTCTCTTTTAGCAATGTATTTTTACACAAAAATCAATTTCTGTACAAAAAATAAGAACCTAAATTGTGAATTCAAAATTTAAGAACAATTTTCTCCATTGAAAAGATAAGAAAGAAACTGTTTAAATTTTATCAGACAAAAACCGTTTAAATTAATTTTATTTTAAATCATGACGAAGACCTTTGTATGAAGAAAATGTGTTTAGAATTAGCATATCCTCTCTGTATTGATGTCTTTGTGTATGAAATCAGAAATTGTCAACAAGGTAAATTAGTATTCGCTGAAACGTTATAGTCTCTGTATCTGTCAATTAATTAAAATGGAAAAAGTTTGTAAATTCGACGAAAAAGTGCAACAGCATTTAAAAAATTTAAATCCTGACAAAGTGTTCACCACTGAAAAGTATAACTCCATTTTATCTGAAGTGAGAGAAGCGAAAGATTTACATAGGAATAAAAAACCCATGACGACCAAGCATTATCGTCGATTAAAGCGCTTTGACATAATTAATATTGGTGCTACAGAGAAATTGATTGAAAATACGAAACTGCAGGAAGACGGAAATCGCGAAATACGTTATTTTTGCAAAGTCGAGGAATATTTTCACGTTTTGGACAAGGCTCATGCAGATACACAGCACAAAAGAACGAGAGGTAAATAGATTTTAAATACTAATTTTGACACTTGTTATTGACATACATTTGTATTGTTTTGAACGAATTAGTTATTTATCATTTTATACTTAGGAGTTGAATTAACATTTTGTTGATTAAACATGAATAAAAAATATTAATAAAATAAAAAATAATTACTATAATAATATTTATTATAAATTATAATTATTAATTATTATAATAAAAATGATATGTAAATATCAATAAAAATAACTTATGCATAATAATTATTTTTAGTTATGGAAGCCGAGTTGAAAAAAAAATTCGTCAATATTTCGAGGCATATAATTGATATTTATTTGTCATTATGTGAAGAGTGTCAACTGAAGAAAAAAACTAAAAAACGCGGATTGGTTGTTCGCCCTATTTTATCCAGCCAAATGAATAGCAGATGTCAAGTGGATCTGATAGACATGCAGAGTGAAAAGGATGGCGAATTTCGCTTCAAACTAAACTACCAGGACCATTTGACAAAATTCACCATGCTGAAGGCTTTAAAAACGAAAACCGCTAAGGAAGTTGCATATCACTTAGTTGATATATTTTGTATATTTGGTGCACCATATATTCTCCAATCCGACAATGGACGCGAATTTCGGAACCAATTAATTGAAAGTCTCGCAGAAATTTGGAACGGATTAAAAATGGTTCACGGGAAACCTCGCCACTCGCAAAGTCAGGGATCCGTAGAAAGGAGCAATCAAGATGTAAGGGATATGCTTATATCGTGGATGGCTGACAACAACAATAATCATTGGTCAGAAGGATTACGCTTCATTCAGAGCAAAAAAAATCGCGTTCTTCATTCGGGAATTAAAACTAGCCCATATGAAGCAATGTTTGGCTGTCCGCAGAAAATTGGATTGAGTGATTCTCCATTGTTGGCAGAGGTTTATTCTGCAATTGAGACAGAAGAGGAATTGGAACAACTTTTGAATACCGAGATCATCGAAGATGGGGGAGACGAAAATGCAGCAGGTGACAATGCAAATATTTGCGAGAAAGTTCCAGTAATAACGAATAAGTGTCACACTTGTGGACTTGAAGTCCAGGATACTTTCAGCGCACATGACGACGAAGACAAACTTATCTGCAATGTGTGCAGCAGAAAGGAAAAAATCATAAATAAACGAGGAGCAGCAGCAAGAGGACTGCAAAAACAAGCCGAAAAAATGCTTGCACTATCCATCGGCACTTGATTCAGGATCAAAACAAGGTTTTATTTTCTGCAATTGTTTAAGACATTGCACCCATATTCGATGTAAGTGTCTATCAAATAACGTGAAATGCAACTCGAAGTGTCACTCCAGCACTGCATGTAAAAATAAATAAATTTAAGCATAAACAATTTTTGAAAACTTGTCTGATAAAATTTAAACAGTTTCTTTCTTATCTTTTCAATGAAGAAAATTGTTCTTAAAATTCGAATTCACAATTTAGGTTCTTATTTTTTGTACAGAAATTGATTTTTGTGTAAAAATACATTGCTAAAAGAGAAAAATTTGTGTGGAAAATTTATTGTTTAAATTTTTGTCATAATTAAAAATGCCTTACCCAGTTTTGGCAAAAATGCGTTTGCCAAAACTAGTTTTGGCAAATTTCTGTTTGCCAAAACTGGTTTTGTCAATTTAAAACGTCCAATGGCCGTTGTGAAACGTCCACAACTAGTATTGGCAAAAATGCGTTTGCCAAAACTAGGTTTGGCTGTTTTTTTCGGCCATTGGCCGTTTTCGGCTTTTGAGCCTAACATATATATATATATGACACTGGAATTATTATTGTGTTTCAAAACACGTTATATATTATAATTGTATATTATAATTATACTGACAAAGATGCAATTGTATATTTAAATGGAATATTATAATTATAATATTCAACAGTAATTTTATTTTTATCCTTATAGTTATATTATTATAGTTATAATTATAATATACAATTGAATATAATTATAATATAATTAAAATTGAATATTATAATTATAATTATAATTTAACATTATAATTATAACTATAATAATATAATTAAAATTCAATTTTGTAATTAAATATCATAATTATAATAACAAAATTACAATTGTTTAT